AGTGGTCAAGGCTACACCCTAGGCAGCAGTGCGCCCTAGGCTGCTGCCTAGTTTGCCTAGTGGCAGCACTGGCCCTGCCAACACCCGCTCCCCCCATCCCTATTGAATTCTAAATACATCTCTGTGTTCAGCTAAACAGCTGCTCTGTAAATTCTATTTCATAGTTCTTTAATTTGATAGGAAAATCATAAAATAATTCTATCACATTACAAGCTGCATGTTCTCTGATCCATTCCAGTTTACGGTGTCCAGGCTGGTCTAAGTGTGACACTTTCTTCCCCTATTATTTTGTGATACACAGTCACCCATTTAAACATGGAGCAAATTCAAGAACATTCGCCTCTTCCTCATTTACTGGCACAGGCTTACTGTAAGTAAGCAAATGTACAACTGGAAGGGCCCTTTAACACCACAGCATTGCGTCAGATGATATTCACTATTCAATGTTTGTTGTGCATAGGGTTGCCACCTGTCCAGGATTCACCCGGACAGTTCGGGTTTTGAATGCTGTGTTCGGGTTTCATGGCCGCAGAAACCCGGACACTAGATATCAGGCAGACAGAGGCAACCAAAATTAAGATAGAGGCTACTGGCCCCCCACTGAAAATAGTCTCAACTGTGATATTTACATATGAATAAGCCGCGACTCATTCCCTCCAAAAAATGTCTGCGCATCGCTTGAGTGTTCGGGTTTCGCTTGAAGAAAAGGTGGCAACCCTATTGGGGAATGATATTCGTGCATTTAGCGCATGCTATCATATAGCCCCCCTAGCGTGCGTTACCCTGCACTGCTACATTGCATTGCCATTTATTTGAGTGACACCCCAATGCACCTCCCGGTAGCCATGCGCTGTAGTGCAGTGCAATGTGCGCTACTGCAGTATTGGCAGTAAAGAAAATGAGCGCATGCACCACTGCGTGTTTATCGCAATGCAATGGTGTAACGGTCCCTGAGGAATATAGCGAATGATCAGAGAATGAATGGCTATTATCTGCCAGTGTCTGCAGAGCTGGCAGAATCAAATCCAAGACTTGCACACATGGAGAGCCGTGTAGACAGAAACAAATGCCTAATGAGTAAAATCCACCTTTCTGTGCATAACGATTGCCCTGTACCTGAACTCGGTAGTGTTTTCTTATTTTACCAAGCTGCCCGTGCCAATGTGTTGACAGGGCAGGTAAGCTTACATAGTAATGAATGGAAATACAGTTCGGCACGCTCTGCAATTACCACGATTTGTAGACTGTTTGCAGCTATGTGGAGTCTGGGAAAAAAAGCTATTAGACATGTAACCTGCAGAAAAATTCAGTTAGTTTTTTTCGGGATTCGGGTCCGAAATTCAATTCGGTTCGGGGTTTCGGATTCAGATGAAATCTGAATTTTCGTTAGTTTAGAATAAGTTTACGAACGAATATTCGTTATGACTACCAGCAGAGAAAACCATATACAGATATGAATACTAAAGCTGAATCTCCTAGACCCGAATGGTATCTGGATTTTCGAATTTCATTGCTATGATATTCGGAACTTTGGATCCTGAATGCCATTCGGGTCTGGGAGCCATATACTGTACACAGGGCAGCCATCAGGGGGGTACGGCAGATACTCATGTAAGGGGCCCGGGCAGCCTGGGGGGCCCGCCCGGGTCCCTTACATGACTATCGGCCAACGGTGAAGGGCGAGGAGGCGGAGGCCTGGCCCTAGCAGCGCAGGGCCCCAGCATTGCAGCTTCAGTGGCTTTGAGACAAGCTAGGGCCCCATCAGCGACGCTGCTCGCCTGATGTCAGACTGGCCGGAAGTGACGTCACTTCTGGCCGGTCCGGCGGCAGACGAGGCCACGTGTGCAGGTAAGAGAAGCTAGGAAGGTAGGAAACGAGGGAGGGATGCAGCCCTGACCAGCCCACCTGAGACCCCTTCAGAGCCCACCATAGACAGTCTCAGATGGGCTGTGCAGCATCTATGGTGGGCTCTGCAGGGTCACTCTCAAGTGGGTCCTGTGTCCAGCACGTCACTAAGCCCTGCGTCCAGCACACCACTAAGCCCTGTGTCCAGCGGCGTGGGGGGCCTAAAGCCGTGTAAGGGGCCCTAAAATTTCTGATGGCTGCCCTGACTGTACACATACTGTATTACTAAAGCTGAATCTCCTAGACTCGAATGGCATTCAGGATCCGAATTTCCAAATTGCATTTGGGAGTTCCTGAATGCCATTTGGGTCTGGGAGCCATATACATATATTACTAAATCTGAGGCTCCCAGACCTGAATGGCATTCAGGAGCTCCCGAATGCAGTTCGGAAATTCGGATCCTGGATGCAATTCGGGTGTAGGAGACTCAGGTTTAGTATTATATGTATATATATATGGCTCCCATATTGCCATAATGAAAATGCGTATTCAGACCCATTCAGATGCATTAAGCCGAAAAACACATCTGATTGGCCAGAAAAGTCACATGTCTGATTCAGTTTTGTTTTTGAACGAAAACGGAACGGGATCCAAAACTTGGAAACGGAAATTCAGACACATTTGGAGGCATTGTGATTCGGGAATTCGGATGTGTCCAAATGTTTGAATTTCAGAAAATTTGTACGAATTTTGATTCGGATCGAAACGAATCGCACATGTCTAGCAGCTATTGTATCTTGGCAAAATTGCTAAACAGTGCCTCCATCTGATTGGACACAGGGGCTGTTCGGCTGGAAATTTTCCACCTAGATGCCTTCAACTTTTCAATGGAAGGATGTTGGACAGGAGCTGCATGACAGGGCCACCCACTGAGGCAATTTCATCCAATTCATCAAGATTCAGCTGAAATGCGCTCCGTGTATATCAAGCTTTAGGGTCACTGGGCTGCCAACACACAACAACACTCCAAAAACTGGACATGAACCTTTCTTCTTCAACGCAGGACACCATGCAGTACCCATCTGCTTGTTGTGGTGCACTGAAACACACGCATGTTCAGATGTGCTTTTAAGTGCTTGGCATGCCATTTAAGATGGATAGCACCGTGACATATCGCACTTTGTACGAATTTGATTACGAAAGTTGATATTTGGGGACCCCTTTCTTTTCTCTTGTCTACAGAAAGAGAGGATCAGTTTAGACTCATTGACAAAGCATTTGTCAATATGTAAAAGGTAATCTATAAATACTGAGTTGAGCTTTATAGATCAGAGGACATGTAGAGTTGAGCTTGCAATATTTCAACTATTGATTATATAATCTTTTCTTTTCCATCACATTTATATGCCTCTCTATGTATGTACAACCTCATTGTATATGAAAGAGAAATACAAATGCAATAAAGATATAGAGGTACTCACAGGTATTGAAGCGGAATAAGTCAAAGCATCAACATTTTATTCTCAACGTTTTGATGAAGCTCCATCCATCTTTCTTGATGACCCCGTGTGGCACATAGACCTATTCCACAAAAGGCCCCAGGCCACTTGAGGTTATTTGTTGCTTTATATGTATGAAATTGTAATGGTTTCGGATCAATTTGATCATTTTTTAAATTATAATGATTTTAACATTATGTTTATATCTTTGACCCCATCAATATTGTGGCGCCAATACAGCCCAGTGAAAGCTGCAAGCACTATAGTGAATCACAAGCAAAAAATACATATATTGAATGTGAGAGTTTACAACCAGAAAAGGGTGAAGAGTTTGGAGAAGGCGGGTGAAGTGAACAATCTAGGCCAAAATAGATGATTTGGAAAAATTCTGCTCACTTTCCGGTTCAGCTATGTTGTCCTAGATTGTTCACTTCTCCAAACTTCACCCTTTTGTGAATAACCCTGAACATTTGCTTATTCGTGTCAAATTTCTGTTTTGCAAAAGACAAAGGAATCACAGAGAATTATGGGTTTCCTAAACAGGAGGACACAGCAGAAGCTGCTTGCTTTCAGACCGTGTCTCTATGATTGAAACAGAAGTACTTAGAACAGGCAGGCAAGGAGGGAGAAGGAGTCACTAGCCCTGTCTGCATGAGCTACTGACCTCTGCAAACAGATAAGGATAGACAAAAAGTTTTCTTTAGCTCTTGGCGCTAATGGCTGCCAGCTGGACAATCCACTTGCTGTTGCTCACTCAAAGTTTTCAACAGTTTATCACAGTTTTTTTACACAGACTTGAGGGGCTGCTCATCCAAGGCTCTGGGGCTTCCACCATGAACATAGAAAACAAAAGGGAACAGAGCGCCACCTCCGTGTGTAAAATCGTTTATTACAATAAATAAAACAAGGGATAAAAGTACTCACAAACAAACGTTTTCATCAGGCTTTAACAACAAACGAGAGGCCACACTGTCTGTTGACCCAACATGGTATCCCCCCGACTATGTAACACGGTAGTATCCGGTCACATCACCGTCCACCGACCGCAGTCAGCCAAGATTGATGCGTTTCAGGGGCAAGCCCCCTTCCTCAGAATCATAATGATAGCCTGGGAAACTTGTGAAGTAGAGCTAATAACTCAACCTGACAACTAAAAAATTAAAATGCAACAATCTTATACACAGTTATTAATATTTTCCCATACATGAAAAATATTTTTAAAAAATGAAATGTTATCTTGTTGTCCTGATAATAATATATTAAGAAAAGAAGGAGTATATAAAACCACAAGTCCCTGTACTTTCCCTTCAATGTGAGCGATTGTGTATTAAATGACGTAGTAAATGCCTCCGCGCCAAAAACGACATCAGCTGATTTTCAATATATGAAAAAGAAGGAATCTTATTTATATGGAAATCCATAAGCAATTTTTCCACGGTACCATGAACTTGATGTATGAAGCGCCATGTCCTAAAACACAAAAATGATTCCAAGCTGTCTGTGTTGGGTAATATTGCTGACAGACAGCTGCAAGGTTGGAAATTTAAGGTACAAACCTATTTAACATTCAGCATGGCCCGGGTTAGGAGACACCGCCCATTATATATATCGCCACCTTATATTTACATGGGAAATTTGTCTGCTGTCCACTGACATGAATACATCCGGCTTTTAGCATGGACATGATATATGGACTAAGAAAATGCATGTGATGTTAATGGAGGCAATAGAGCAAAAGGGCATTTTATCAAATGAAACATCGATGCATTCATGGCGCGCTTGTCATTCCATCCTACGGGTATGACGCTGTGTTTTGGTTGTGTAGTCTGCATACCCTCATTTATCATCGCAATGGACTGCAGGTATACAAGAACCTTTAATCTCTCGGTAATACAATCCCTCCCAGCCATGAGATTACAGACTGGAGTCATTTCATTACATTGTTTGAGGTACCTTTCCCTTTTATGTTCCCGGGGGTTCTTCTCAGTTCGCGCGGTTAGGGTCTGGAACTCGTTGCCACAAGCAGTGATTTAAACTAATAGTGTGGAATCGTTCAAGAATCTTTTGGACGATTTCCTGAGAAACGGTAATATACAGGGGTACAAGTACTCCTAAAAACGAGATGACACGGGGATCTTTACACACACACACACACAATAGGTTGGACTTGATGGACATATGTCTTTATTCAACCTCAAATACTATGTAACTATGTAACTATGTACAAAAGACCTGCAAATTAAAAAAGTGATTGTGTGCTTAGTAGATCTGACAGTAATACGAGGATATCTCATGGTCCAGGTTATTCACAGTATTATCTCCCAGGTTATTATATCATATTCACTAAAACTGTTGTTGTTATAGATATTTATAGTGCCGTCGTTTCCAGTGGCGCAGTGTTACAAACAAGGGCCATGCAGATGATAAAAGCATGTAGAAACATTTCAGATGACTAATACATACAGTTTGGTACATATACAACAAACGCAGGAGAAAAGAGTCTACAGTCTAGAGCAGCCATTCTCAACCAGGGCTCCATTGAACCCTAGGGTTCCTCCAGAGGTTGCTTAGGGGGTCGTTAAGCTATGGCTGGTTGACCTCCCATTTGATGGTGCCTGCAGAGTTTCTTGGCCAACATCCAACCCTCCCCCCAATGCCAAGGTACTAGGTGTCATCCTTGACTGGGACCTCACCTTTCTTCCCCACATCCAAAATAGCCCAAAGAATAAAATTCAAAATATTAACAACCACCTACAAAGTCATCCCCGGCTATATCTCCAACCTCGTCTCAAAGTATCACCCTAGCCGTCCCCTTCGCTCTTCCCAAGACCTGCTTTCCAGCTCCCTCATCAACTCCTCCCATACTCACCTCCAGGACTTCTCTAGAGTCTCTCCCATTCTCTGGAACTCTTTACCCCAACCTGTCTGCCTATCTCCCGCTCTGACTGCCTTTAGGCGATCCCTTAAGACTCATCTCTTCAGGGAAGCCTATCCCACCTCAACCTAACCACTTAACTCATTCTCAAACAATTCATCCCCACACAGCTACCTCCTCATGTATCACTTCCCCCTCCCTTATAGATTGTAAGCCCACATGTGCAGGGCCCTCCTCCTTACTATCTTGTCTTGAATTGTATTGTGATTGTAATGTCTTCCTTATATTGTACTGTTGGCGCTATATAAATCCTGTATAATAATAATAATAATAACACTTGGCATAGCCATATGCTTAACACCAATTATCGTTTTAGCTTTCTATAAGTATAGTATGGTGACCATCACAGCAAGGGACGGGGGCATTCTTCACACTGGCCACCAATGTAAAGGGTTTTTTTTTTCACAGACCCCCAATTTTTGATTTTGTCAAGGGTTCCCCAAGACCTAAAAAATATGCCAAGAGTTCCTTTGAAGTAGAAAGGTTAAGGAAGTTGGGAGGGGGGTTGTTTTGGGAAGGGGTTATGAATATTTTTCTCTTCTGTTTTTGATTGGATTTCTCCCTGGGAGAGTCTTTTAACAGTATGTTTACATGCTTGTATGTCTGTATTGTTATATATAGAATCAATAAAGAAATATTATACAAAACAAAGGTTATGAAAGGCTGATCTAGAGGGGTGAAAGATGGTAACAACCCATAATAGAAGTCACCAGCACTCGATGATATGTGCAAGAAGTTAAGCACTTTTTATTAAATTGTCACATGCGTCATACAGCCAACGTTTCCGGGCCACGCAGGGTCCCTTCTTCTGGGTGATAGGTCACTATGTCGCCCAGAAGAAGGGACCCTGTGGGGCCCCGAAATGTTGGCTGTATGACACATGTGACATTTTAATGCATCAAATATGTTTTTATTAACAGCTGTCATGTTAAAATGTATTTATTATTAGCCATCTTTTTTATATGTATTTTTTCATTATTTCTTTTTTAATAGCTTTTTTGTTAATATTTATTTAATAGCTGTATTTAGTTAATATGTATTAATATCTCTCTTCTTTAATATGTATTCAGTAATAGCTCAGTGGATGACGGCACTTTCCCTTCTTGCTTAGGTGCATATAATGCTCAGGACTAAAACCCATTTGAAAGCAATTTCTGCAAATGTCTTGTTGACGTCGCAGCAAATAACAATACATTTATGTTTTTGCTTTCTGTAGGTGTGTGAATATATCAGATAGTGCCGAAGATGCTTTTGTAAACAGCACATATTGCAGTCACCTGGAAACACCTTCCACAAGACAAAACTGCTCGCTTACCTGCCTCGGAGAATGTGTGATGTCCAACTGGGGGCCGTGGAGCCGCTGCACACAGGTATGGGCACCTTCCTCTGGCATTGACTTACTGCGTTAAGGAAACACGTGAAGTCGTATTTGTAAAGCTGAATACCGGCAAAGAGCTACATAGTTGACATACAGACACGTGAACTGTCTTCTCTTCCAAAGGATTTGTAAATGTCACCAACCACATTTGTTTTTGTTAGCGGTAACCCAAAAAATTCAAATGTAATACTAAATGTAATAATAAAAATAAATAATAATGTAAATAATGTAATAATAAAAATGCAGCTTACCAGTCCTTAGATGTGGTGGCTGCATTGGTTTTCAGGAGTTTTTATTTTATTTTCATTTGCAGGGTTATTCACTAAAGGGTGAAGAGTTTGGAGAAGGCAGGAGAAGTGAACAATCTAGGACAACATCGCTGATTTGGCAAAATCCTCCAATTCAGCTCACTTTCCAGTTCAGCTATGTTGTCCTAGATTGTTCACTTCTCCTGCCTTCTCCAAACTCTTCTCCCTTTTGTGAATAACCCTGTTGGTGATCCTGTTGAATCATAAAACAGACTGTGCATCATTAAAAAATTACATTTTATACTTTTAAGTACATTTTATTTTATTTTTTTCTTAAATCTCCGTGCTGCTGATCTTCTGCAGTCTCTGTTCAGCCATTTTATGTCTACACGCCCTGCAGAGATGGCTGCATGGTATTTCTCAGGTTGGGTTTCCTGATGGTGAAAACAGTGGACCATGCCGGTGTAATATGCATTGGCATGGTCACTTGACATCTTCATGTGGAGAGCATGTGAAAGGGTGACAACGCAGGTACACAAGCAGTGGCATAACTATAGCCATAGCAGCCCATGCAGCTGCTATGGGGCCTGGGAGTGGAAAGGGCCCCCATTAGGATGTTGAGGCAAATTAAACACAGAACATGTGTAGATAATACAGTACTGTATCATTATGGGTTGGAGTGGTTGTTGTTGACGACTCTAAAGCCTACAGTGTAGAGATGCCTTCAGATGCACAGGAGAAGTCTTTGGCATTGTAACTCACAGCTCAGAGAGAAGCCTCTTTCTCAGAGAGAAATCAGGGGGTCCCCATTAGATTTTTGCTATGGGGCCCTGTAATCTGAAGTTATGGCCCTGGGCACAAGTGGGACACATAGGCAGAGTGTTGTCACCCTAGAATAGGAAGTGTCTAGGGACCTTCACGGCAGGATCGTCATGTACTGGTTTAAATATCGCTACTGCTTTAAAATTCTTTAAAATTACTTTTGAAATGAATTTGTCATAAAACCACTGATGACCACTGAAGTCACTCTGTATGACCAGTCTTGTTGCTGTCCCTCTCATGGACTTTACCATTCCTGCACCCTAATCAGCGAGGGACCAGCAGCCATCCTAACTCTCCCGGATGCTCTGGTAGTCTCCTGCTATTAGATAGCACCTCCTCGGCCGAGTAGAGTAAACCTTTTTCTTACATCAGGGCCGCTGTCAGTCAGAGGAAAAAAACAGCATAGGAATGCATAGCTACATTCATATTGGCTATTTCAATTTGCAATAGCCAATAGCAGACCAGCTATTGCACCCGTTCTCCATCAGGTCCTCTTCTAGTAAATTGACAGCAGCAAAGGGCGGGTGCAATAGCCAGCTTGCTATTAGATATTGCAAATTGAAATAGCCAATAGCAATCTAGCTATTCCTTCAAACACTGTTTTTTTTTTTTTGCTTCTGCTGTCAGAATACTAAAAAAAACAAAAACAGCAGATAGCAAAGAAGCTATTGCTTCCCGTCTATCTGCCATCATTTCAAGGGGGTGCTCTGTTCCCACCCGCGGATGGGGGGTGTTCAGGGGGCACCTCCCTGAAATGAGAAGGGCACCTCCCTGAAATGAGAAGGGCACCTCCCTAAAATGAGAAGGGCACCTCCCTGAAATGAGAAGGGCACCTCCCTGAAATGAGAAGGGCACCTCCCTGAAATTGCTTTTTTCAGGTTGGGATCCCTGAGGATGGGATTCCTCTTCTGCTAGAAGTATTTCAAGGAGCTATGTACCGCACCCTGCGATTGCAAAGAGAAGCACAGAGACCCACTGATAATGTCATTGGGTCTAAAATAAGGTATGCATTGAAAACAGAGAGGTTTTATTTAAAAATGGCATTAGTATGTAGATGAGGGGAGGAGGGGAGGAACCAGGGAAGGCGAAATATAAGCAGATTAAACTTCAGTTTTAAATGTAATAATAAACAAATGGTGAGTCCATGAAAATTGCATGCCAGTAATATTTTCTTTTTTTTGTGCTCTGCGACAGAAAAAGAATCAATAATCGTCTTTTCTGGCGTACAATATGAATATATATATATATATATATTTGTATAGTCTCATTTTTACCATGACATCTCCTCATTGCTATTCACTTCTCTCCTGAAATTAAATTGCCTTGATCTTGTACACTTGACTCCGGTGGAAATTGTCAGGCTCTTTTCTTCACAACCAATTTGAATTCAGAAAACACAAAACCAACGTCTTGTTTGTCAGAATTTTTTTTAACTTTTTTTTTTTTCATTTCCTTTATTGTGAAATTTACATAAACTAAAAATTTGCAGAGTGGAGGGGCTGTCACCTCCAGCGTGCATATAGATTGGAGCATAAAAGTTGCCACATCTATGAGATTTCGTCTCCTTACAGTTAGGTTAAAAAAAAGACATGCGTTCATTGAGTTATTAATATTATTATTATTATTATCATCATCATCTTTTAATATTATTATGGATTTATATAGCCCAACAGTTTGTGTAGCACTTCACAACATAAGAGAAGACAGAACAAGTACAATACCATACAAAAGGATTAGAGGTCCCTGCTTGTGAAAGCCTACAATCTACAAATAGCTTTGTGTCAACTGCAGACACAGAAATGTTTTTTTGTGTGTCTTTTATTCCCCAGCTCTATATAGTTTATAAACAGTTTGAAAAGTAATAGCAATTCCAGTTAACCTAGGGGTAAACCACTCACAACATTGGACCATTCAGAGTCTTTAATCACTACTCTCCAAATACAGTCTTTAAGCCAGTTTTGTTATCCATTTACCCACTGAATATTGTAACCCTATACAAGAGTAATGTTTGTTTCTCTTGTTTAATATATCTAAAGAGTTCATTCATGTCCTCCCCTTTCCTTCTATGTTATAGCCCTCAAAAATGTCACCAGTCGTGTTGCTGCCTCTAAACTCGTTCTACTGTATCAATATTTGTTTTGTAAGTGTGGACTCCAGGAATGGACACTGAATTCTAAATGAGATCAAACTAAAGACCTATATAGTGGGAACTGGACCTCTTTCCTCCTGCCATGGATCCCTCTAGTGATAACTAAACATCTATATAGAGGAATCAGGACCTCCTTCCTCCTGCCAGGGATCCCTCTAGTGATAACTAAAGATCTCTATAGGGGGATCTGGACCCTCTTCCTCCTGCCAGGGATCCCTCTAGTGATAACTAAAGATCTATATAGAGGAATCAGGACCTCCTTCCTCCTGCCAGGGATACCTCTAGTGATAACTAAAGATCTATATAGGGGAATCAGGACCTCCTTCCTCCTGCCAGGGATCCCTCTATTAATAACTAAAGATCTATATAGGGGAATCAGGACCATCTTCCTCCTGCCAGGGATACATCTAGTGATAACTAAAGATCTATATAGGGAAATCAGGATCTCCTTCCTCCTGCCAGGGATCCCTCTAGTGATAACTAAAGATCTATATAGGGAAATCAGGATCTCCTTCCTCCTGCCAGGGATCCCTCTATTAATAACTAAAGATCTATATAGGGGAATCAGGATCTTATTTCTCCTGCTGGGGATGCCTCTAGTGATAACTAAAGATCTATATAGGGGAATCAGGACCTCCTTCCTCCTGCCAATCCCTCTAGTGATAACTAAAGATCTATATAGAAGAATCAGGACCTTCTTTCTCCCGCTGGGTGATAATTAAAGATCTATATAGGAGAATCAGAACCTCATTCCTCCTGCTGGTGATCCCTCTAGTGATAACTAAAGATCTATATAAGGGAAACAAGACCTCATTCCTCCCGCTGGCAGTTATGATAGCTAGTAATGCTATTGCTTATTACATTGTTTTCTAGCATACTCTTGTAGGTGATCCTTTATCAAAACATTAGTTATGTTCTCTACTACATATCCAACCAAATTCAGCTGGATTGATGTTAGTCAGAAAATCTGAAGGGTCAGTTTAATTCAGCGAAACATTTCAGCACTCCTAACTTTAAGCCCAACTGAAGTCTTGGTATTGACTAGACATGTGCACTGCCAAAAAATTTGTTTAGTTTCGTTTCGTTTTAAATTCGGATTTGTGTTATTTCGTTTTATATATAGAGGAATCAGGACCTCCTTCCTCCTGCCAGGGATACCTCTAGTGATAACTAAAGATCTATATAGGGGAATCAGGACCTCCTTCCTCCTGCCAGGGATCCCTCTATTAATAACTAAAGATCTATATAGGGGAATCAGGACCATCTTCCTCCTGCCAGGGATACATCTAGTGATAACTAAAGATCTATATAGGGAAATCAGGATCTCCTTCCTCCTGCCAGGGATCCCTCTAGTGATAACTAAAGATCTATATAGGGAAATCAGGATCTCCTTCCTCCTGCCAGGGATCCCTCTATTAATAACTAAAGATCTATATAGGGGAATCAGGATCTTATTTCTCCTGCTGGGGATGCCTCTAGTGATAACTAAAGATCTATATAGGGGAATCAGGACCTCCTTCCTCCTGCCAATCCCTCTAGTGATAACTAAAGATCTATATAGAAGAATCAGGACCTTCTTTCTCCCGCTGGGTGATAATTAAAGATCTATATAGGAGAATCAGAACCTCATTCCTCCTGCTGGTGATCCCTCTAGTGATAACTAAAGATCTATATAAGGGAAACAAGACCTCATTCCTCCCGCTGGCAGTTATGATAGCTAGTAATGCTATTGCTTATTACATTGTTTTCTAGCATACTCTTGTAGGTGATCCT